ATCCCCCTTTATTGCCACCTCATAACCGAGGGTGGGGTTATCGACCCCTAAAAAATGCAACCCTCCTGGTTAAAAAATATGCTCCGGTGCCTGAGTTACAAATATTTGAATAATACGCAAAAATAGGTAAAAACGACTATTTTTGGACCTTCGAGGAGTCCAAAATTGGGCCCTAAGGCCCCTAGAGGACTAAATATTTACCTGAAGGCTATTTTCACATACCCAAATAACATACTAAATTTTGAGGCGGATCCGAGAACTCCCCGCACAAAAGTTGTACATATGAGCGCGTCCAGCATAAGTCGGCCACCCCGCGCGATTACGGCATTTTTGGCTGGAAGTGTCGTATGTTTAGCCCGCTCGGAAACGTTTACCGAGAATCAGAAAAAAATCGAAACACATAGATCGATAGATTTTTTCCTTCTTTTTCTAGTGGTGTACCTCCAATAATTCTTGAAAATTGATTTTGAGGTTAAAACTCGACTTGAATGTTTAAGTCTATTTATCCAAAAAATGTATCCTCCGATTTCAATTTAAACTGTACCAATCGAAAGAGGAGGTTAAAATCTATCGAAAACGATGTTTTCCAGGATGGAGAAATGATAAGAACGATTAAAGATTGTGACGGGAAGATACGACTCTTACCGCACAACGATCGATCGATAGACATAGGCTCAACCTCGCGCGACATACACACACACAAATACACACTCACAAACACATACACACATGAATCGAGAGTTGACACGACAAGCTGGCAGCAGCAATGGCAACATTGGCAACACAGGACGAGCATAGCAAGGAATGCGAACGACAAGTCGGCCGCACTAACGAAGCTTGGCCGAAAAGACGGAAAGCTGGAGCTTATCGATATCGCCTCGCTACGCTTGCGCGTGGCGTGATCATCGATCAGGCTCGAATACTTGAAAGTGCGACTGACGAGGACACTCTATGCTTCACGTTCGACTAGTGAACCTCGGTCCGGCATATTCAAATCCGTTCGGAGTGCAACTCGTAATTTCGTCGTTAAGACGCCGGCAAACAGTTCTCGAATTCGTAATTGAGACGCCGACAACCGCACTTCCGATATCGGCCGAAACCGAGAAATTGATTCGTTATCGTGTCGTGTGATACAAGTCGACAGTATCACCCGACTACGTGCAACCGCATTTGTGACCAGTGCCAGTCCAACACATCACTGGACAATTGGATCGATCCATTCCGACGTGTCGCCTGCCACTTCAGCCACGCCGCCGCCATCCATCATCGAGAGGGTCAACGACGACGTCAACGCCGAAGAGGCCGGCCTGCGTTTACCTTAAGTACACACACACACACACACCTACACCCGCTAAGAGCCATCGCGAATCAGTTTAGTTAATAATTAAAGGGACTCGCGCCCCTGAGATATTAAAATCGAGAGAGTCTGCATGCTCTACATGCAGTGGCGCCCCGAGCACACTTTGTAATTGTTAACTCAATTTAATTTCTTTATGCAATATATTTTACAATATTATTTAAACGTTAATCCTTTGTCTTATAATTTGTTCACCTCGCCCAATTTATCCTCACAAGATATCGAGAAGAATAGCGTGGGACGGCGCGCGTGACCTGTTTTCCGTGCGCCAGCGGCGGCACATGCGCGGCGCCGTGTCTTTGTCTTTTTGACTGGCTCGTAATCGCTTAAAAAGGGCTGGAAAAATGATATTAACACGTAAATCGATAGATTTTTTCCTCCTCTTTCTGATAGCGTTGTTGAAAAAATTCCCAAAAATTTTTTTCATAGTCAAAACTTAACTTGAATTTTTAAGTCAATATTTCTTCTAGTATTTCAATTTTGACCTCAAAATTGACATAACCAATCGAAGGAAGAGGAAAAAATCTATCGATTTACGTGTTTAAATTATTTTTTCAGCATTTTTTTAGCGAGTCGAAAAGACTTAGGCAGGTAAACAAGTCTGCGGGCTCCGTCTCGCGCTATTGATCTCGATATCTTTAATATTTCTTATCATTTCTCCATCGTGGAAAACATCGTTTTCGATAGATTTTTGCCTCCTTTTTCGATTGGTGCACTTTATTTTGAAATCGGAGGATACATACATACAAGTCCAATATTAACCTCAAAATAAATTTTTAAGAATTTTTTAAGTTACACCAATCGCGCGGGGTGGCTGACTTATGCTGGACGCACTCATATATGAAAAAACTGCTCATGTATATAATATCGAGACTTAGTACATTCGATGACAATATTAGTTGATGAATCATTTTTAAAAAGTTCACAAACGAAAATATCACGTGATATTTTAGCGTGATTTCTCATGTGATTGCTCATGTGATTTCTCATGTGATGACTTTCAGTAGATATGATTTATTAATCTGATATAGCATGAGCAGGTGATTAATTTTTTTTTCTAGTTTTTATCGTTAACGATTATAAAAGCATAACTTACAATATCAAGGCTCCATTCTAGGACCAAATCATAATTTTGTTACCTCGGTTATTGTCATTTTTTGTTTTTATATGGTCTAAAGCACGTCAACTGTACCCCTTCCCTCCTTGGATCAGAGTTGGAATTTAATTTTTCATATTTTATTCTGCTTCCCAAGGGTGAGTATGAAAAAATTATTGACACATGATTTTTTTATGTCAAATTTGATGAAAAATTCAAATGTGTCATCCAAAATCATGTTCATAACCTCAAAACCCCTAAATTATCAAAAATCAGCCTCAAGGCCAAAAATGAACATGTTTGTACCCAGCAATATGGCCAATATTGTAATATGTTCATCAAACTGCAACTTCTGATAAAGTCTGCTTGTCTGCTGATGACCAAAATTGATCAGAAGTTGCAGTTTGATTGAACATATTACAATATTGGCCATTTCGCTGGGTACGAACATGTTTATTTTTGGCCTTGAGTCTGACTTTTGATAATTTAGGGGTTTTGATGTTATGAATATGATTTTGAATGACACATTTAAATTCCTCATCAAATTTTACATAAAAAAATCATGTTTCAATAATTTTTTCATCTTCAACTTTGGTAAGCAGAATAAAAAAGGAAAATTAAATTCCAACTCTGATCCAAGGGGGGGGGGGCAGTTGACGTGATATAGCCCATATATTTTTCGTTGCATTCGAGTCATTCAATAGGCTCAACCAACAATTTTAATTGGTACAGGTTTCACCATCAATTATTCAGAGGGTGAATATTCGAAAAATCTTTTAATAACGTTCTCTATTAGAAACGTTTAATTTGTTGTTTTACTTAAAGTGATTTAAAATAGCTTATCAGGTGAGTGACAATTTCTTAAAAAGTCATAAAACAAATATATAAAACTTAAAAAAAATAATTAATCTCCTGCTCATGTTATATCAGATGATTTATTTATCTGATATATCACATGATAATTTTTAGTAGGGAGAGGTTAACAGTGTTAACTGAACGCTGTAAATAATTTTTTTTCTTAAACAAAACGAAGATGAAAATTTTAGAAGTTCTTGTTATTTTACAAATTTTCTATTATCTTGCATGATGATAAAATTCAAATTATAAATGTTGTTGAAAATTTCATGCAAACTTTATCTGTTTTTTTAATCCAAGTTTTGAACTTGAATAAAAGCTGCAAATTCTCGTCCTAAATTAATTGCATTAAATATACATATTGTACTTTAAGAATTAGAAATAAAATTATCAAAGTATCATACATTAACTGTAAGATCGCGCAAGATACACAGTTAGCAAATCTCGCCAAAATTCAATAATTTTTTTAGAAATTACTTTCAAAGTATTCCTAAGGAGTTCTTAAAGAATTCTATGAGCGGTCATAGCGGGAATTCTTTGCGAATTCTATAAGGATTCATTAAGAATTCTTAAAGAATTTGCTCAAGAATATCTTATAGAAGTCTTAAAGCATACTTAAAATTCTTTAAGTATTTTTAAGTATTCTTTCAATGAATTCTTTACGAGTTCTTTTCCCGAATTCTTTTAGAATTCATTACAAATTTTTGACAAAATGTTCACTCAGATTCGATAAAGATTTCAAATGCATATGATATGAAACTTGTTACTTTAACGCAGACTTGTATAATAGGAATATTTTAATCTATACGTAATTTCTATTTGTATAATATTCATAGAAAGTCAGTATCGAGTCTGATTAGATTTTACAAGGACGAAAAATCTATTTGTTGATTAATTTTGACTCAAAATCAATATTACATTGCATAAATTATTATTGCTCAATTTTATATACATGAACAAAAAAACATATTTCCTTATTTGTAAGCAAAGTCTGTATAATTAATATATACATTTCAAAATGCAGGAAGCTATAAAAATCACCTGCAGGATTACCTATTTCCAAAAAATGTAAAAATTTTATTTCTTAATCGTATGTAAATAAATGAATTCTAAAAAATATGAAAAAAGTATATTTTCCAAACAATAATTAACATAAAAATGTATTCGAAATTCCACGTTTTCAAAAAAAGTTGAATAAATTTCATTTGACAGTAAAGAACTTGATATTATGTGACCTTTATCGCCTTACCCTTGAGAAATTTCATGTAGCATCCGTGAAATTCAAATAGGATTTCTGTAGAACTCCTGTACAAATTTCGCGGGATCCTACTAGAAATATTCAAGGGTATGCCCATCATTAACAAACTAGCTTTTGATTATTATTCGAATTTAATGTATCTCAGTTAAATATATAAATTTATATTTGTAAAACTAACAGTAACTACAATTACTCTGCTTTATTCTATGCCGATCGATTTTCTATCAAATAATTATATAATATTGAGAAAAAAATTATTCGTTATTAATGAAATTCTTTGATTACAAGTCAACACGATATCATGAATTGTCACTTTATTACCTGACCAAGCTGGTTACTGAATTTATCAGATAGATGAACAACACAAGTCTAAATGTAAAGTTGTTCACAAATTCACATTTCAATTATTTGATACTTTGTAATAAGTAGCTTACCAGAATTGAGAAAGAGAAGCGCTGCACATATAGTAAGAAATGGGCTCATAATCATAATGATATTTATGCAGTTGATAGAAAGAAGTAATAGTTAACTTGTGTTTATTCTTATTTGGTCTCTCATACATAACTAGCATATACGATGCCCGAATTCCTGATGCAACAAGTCACTTTAGTTTGTAGCTGAGTGCTAATTATATTTAACTTGCGTGCTACTTTAACTTGTCTCATACATGGTGTACCTTAGATCAAATTTTTTTTAACAAAGTTTCAAACTTTGAATCGTAAAACTTTTACTCACTGATGTTATTTTAATGTAAATTTAACAACTTCCATAAATAAATTCTCTATAATATAATGTATTATATAGCAATGATAGTTATTTATTGAATTTCAGACAATTCAAATGTAAAAAATCTTAGTTCAACTATTGTATGAAATTGATATGGAATTATTTTTTATTAAATTCAAATAACATGTGTCGTTGTAGAAAATTCTTTTCATTTCTTTGAACATTAATAACTCTACGAAATCTAATTTACTGTTTTGGCAGTTTATTAAATTAATTCACAATAAATACTAAGAAAGGAACAGTTAGCTATTTGAAAGACATTGAAATCAACGTCAAGACGAATATTTTCAAACATACTTTCTGAGATTTACACCAAATTTTTTTGGCTTACAAGCTACGTCTAAGTCTTAATTTTATTCAATTCCAGATATCCACATAGCTTTTGAACAAAATATTATGTATCAATATTTGAAAACATTTTTAAATATTTTAATTAGAGGGGCTTGACATTTTATTAAAGAGTGATCAAATTTGAGTATTTTAGAAGACGTTGTTTTTAAATTTTATTTGTTACTTTTCAGTTAGTTTAGTATTTGATAATTCAAAAAACAACCTGAAGCGTATATTAGTATTGATGAAATAAAATTTATTCGTTTATTCGTTTATAGCAATAATCAGAAATTAGAACTTATTTTGCTGATTTATTTCATGAAAATACGAAAAAGTTGTGTAAAAGTAAAATGGATAAAGCCTTTAAATTATAGGGTATCTTATTTATGATTAGTAAGTTTATATTAAGCTGAAATTTTATATCAAAAGCAGTCTGTCTCGTCCAGTGCAGAAAAATGATTGAAAAGCGAGGTACTATGGTCACTGGTGATGTTCTCGAAATTAATCTGAAAAGGCATCAATGCCGGATTTACTTTTTTAAGGCCCATAGGCGGGATTCTTGTGGGGACCATTTGAGATAGAAATTTTTCATAGGAATGGAAAAAAGACCAGATTTTTTTTAATATTTTTTTTTATTTACTAATAAATAAAATAAACAATACTTCAAGGATTACAGTTTTACAATATATTATTTTTAAATCATTCTCGAACCTTCTTTTGCAAAACTATCAATAATGTCATCAAAATTTAACTCATTCAGTAGATCACACCTTCTACATTGAAATTGGTTTTTCTTTTTATCTATTTTTATATTGAGCCTACTGTTATATACCAATAACATAGTAGTAAGTATTGTAGAATTAAAATATATTAATTAAAAATGATGCAAATTAGACCAGCATATGAACACGCATGTACATTTACGATTTACATTATATTAGGCGCACATAGGCCCAACTGTCGCTTGAATGTATGTGTGAGGGTGCGCGACCAACATGTGCCGACGCATTAGATCAGACCCGCACATGTATGTATCTCGCATATGTGTACACGTGTATGTATGCGACCCGAATACAGAGAAGGCACGACACACGCACGGGGGGTGAAACCCGTGGCCTACTTCAAAATGGTATAAAGAAACAAACATAGCCGCACGCACGCTCACAGGTTTTTCCTATCAACAGGAGTTTGACCTATCGGTCACTGAAATCACAGCGTGACCCGAGCTCCAAAAAGATTTGCCCAAGGGTAAATAGAATGGCACATGCTTGACCCGTGTCAACAATGCTGGACACGGGTCAACAAGCGACGAAAAAACATGTATTTTATCTATTGAGGGAAAACCACCAAGATGTGCTTCCGCCGAGGATATGCATGAATAAATTAGTAAATAACCGGCGTAAAAATTGGACTTCGAAGCAGATCAGTTACTGTTATTGAGTAGAGTGAAGCTCTGGGCAGATAATCCTATACCGTTGAGTAGAGCGAAGCTCTGTGCGTGAACAATCAAGCGACATATTATAATAGAGACTCCGAGATTCATTGAACATCGAATAAAATATACTTGTATTTTGCGGGAAGTAGTAAAAAATTGTTAACAACGTACTAGCTTAATTGTAACCTTAATTATACGGCCGCGAGTGTCGAAGCAACTAATTGTTTAGCGCGAACGGTAAAGCGCGAGGTTGCATCCGAGCTTGCCCCAGCCAAGACGCGGTGACCATCAGCCAAGCAGCAGCCTAGCAACAGCCTAGCAGCAGCCACCATCAGCCGTTTGAATCAACAGACCGACAGCCATCGCCAGCATCAAAATCTGCCGACATAGCTTGTAAGCCTTATTAAAATAGTATTAAGTTATTATATTTGTAATAAAGCCTTTTGTGTGAACCTCACTCGAGCATTATACACTTATTTCATGGTCCTCCCCTCAGACAGCAACATTAACAATTAAGTCAAAAATAATCATTAATGAATAAAATATTTTATTAAATTGTATGTGGAAGTAGTCAAAGTTGATCTTATGCTTAGCTTGAGGTTGCGTTGATGGTTAATGATCCATCGAAGAAAATGAAATGACATAGAACATAGTCGTGTCAAGCCATCACTTAGAATCTTACGACAAACAGCTTAGATATCCTCAATGCTCATCGCTGAAGGGTCATAGACTGATACAAGTTAATTTAAGTGTTTGTAAGTATTTAACTGGACAAAGTACTTTCAAATGGGGTATTGAAAAAGGCTCTTATGCCTGTTTTCTGAAAAAAATTTTTTTTTCACTTTTTCAGCTTAATACTATAAATAGAAATATATAATTATTTAAGCCCCCTTTGAGCCCTTAAGAGTGAGAGAGGATTTTAGTTGGTGTGCGCTCGTAGCTCGGAGCGTAACTGGACAGATCAGCTCGGTGAGCTAACAGTTTGCGACGGCGTACAATCGGTAACGACGCCTGCCTTACTGAGCGCAGGCTTACATCGAATCAGGTGATGAATACATAACACTCTACTCGAGGTTCGAGCTACACTGAACTTGCTAACGCTCGGCGCCAGCAGAGTCGCCTTCAGCGGGGCGAGGGGAGGGGTATCCCCACAGTGCTCCAGGGTGATTTGAAAAAAAACTTCTAGACAGGTAGTCTTGAGTTTTTTGTTACAGCTTAGTTTTAGTATAAGAGAAACTGAAATTTCTGTCTTTGACAGAGAGCTTGAAAATAATAAAAGTAATAATTGTCTGCTTTGACAAAGTGAACAAAAAAAGCTTGTGCTTTGATAATACTTAAAGTTAATCAACGTAGAAAAATAATATTTTTTTATTTTCATTTCGATTATTCGAACTTAAAAATAACATTTTTCATTTTGATGAGTCTAACTAGAAAAATAAGTAAGTAGTCGTATTTAAACACACGAGGCGGCCTAAGACGAGCGACGAGCCAGGCGAGTCAGTTACTCGCAGACTCGGAGCAAGCTACACTGAAACGGCGAACGAGCGCTCCTTACGCGACAACCTCGTCGCAGATACTCGCACGTTCTCGAGGTTATGAACATCGATATCGAGTATCGTCTCCTCATAATTCGAGTAGGGCCCACTCGGATTGGTGGCATGACTGTTTACTCGAGCATCGTGGAGGGCGATTTGCACGATATTGTGTGCGCGCTACTCGACCATCGTGTGCTCGCTACTCGATGCCGAGTAGCGCGCACACGATGACGTTTAGGTAGCAGCGCCACGGCAGTTTGAGTGGCGGATTCACGACGCTGGGTGCTGCTCACTCGTTCGCCGTCTCAGTGTACAGCCTCGAGTGAGCTCCTTCACTAAACAGTAGACTAAATACTCAATAAACTTGTTATAATTACTCTAGTACTTTCTGTGGTCACCTTCTCATTTACCTTCCTCTTACCCTATATCACAGCTTTGATGTCAATGTGCACGTGCGAAAAGCGAGCGTCCGGTTAGGTGAATTGCGCGGGGATGAGCTTGTTGTACCGAGAAACGTTTGCCTGTTGGCAGTGCAGGCAGTTTTTTACAAACTTGTCAATGTCTTTGGACATCTTTGACCAAACATATTTCCTGATAACTAATTTACAAGCTGTCGACGGACCTGGGTGCGCAAGCCTGTGAAAGCTCTTTTCTCATGGAGGCTGGCATGTAAGGTCGAAGAGTGCCGTTGTCGAGTTTAAAGTAAATTGGCACCAAGCCATCATTGACCGGTCACGTTATTTTTTACAGCGGCAAAGCATAGTCTTTGTCGGCCAAGATGAATTGGAACTGGTCGTCAGTTCTTTGCTCTTGCGAGAGCTTTTCAAGAAACAAGGTCGTTGCAAGAGCAAAAGCGTCTACGTGCTCGACGTCGAGAAAAGAGGAAGAAGAATCCGCCCTGAAAATGCGAGAAAGTGCGTCTGTGACTAGATTTTCAACCCCAGGTAAGTACTTAATGCAGGTAGTATACTGCGCGTTGTACGCTAGTTGTCGCTGACGAACTAGAGGTGCGTTCTCTGGAGCTTGTGAAAAGTGTATTGCAGCGGTTTGTGGTCGCAATAGATCGGAAAATCTTGACCTTCTAGGTCGTGGTCAAGGTGACGAATGGCTAGAAATATGGCCGTGAGTTTTAGATCATGCGGGGCATATTCTCTTTGCCCCGTTGTAAATTTTTTTGAAAAAAATCCAAGCGGCTGCCGGCCTGAGTCGGTGTGTTGCTGAGTGTGTTGTTGAGGACTGCACCTACCGCAATTGTCGAGGCATCTGTCACTAGACGTACGTCTTGGGACGTGCGTTTTCTTTAGGGAAACCGAGAGCCGTTGCTGTTGCGACGGAAATACCACTTCTTCTTGGCCGAAAACACATTATGTGGAATTGAGGCGCAGGTTGTGCTGCAAAAGCCTATCCAAGACCACTTTCATATGGGCTCCGTGTTGCTCTCGAGTGTTTGAGGCAATTAACACATCATCGATGTAGATGAAAACGAAATCAAGATCACCCAGTGCCTGGTTTACATAATGCTGAAATGTTTGTGATGCATTGTGTAAACCATAAGGCATAAAGAGAAACTTGAACAGGCCGACTGGAGCGATAACTGTCGTTTTCTCTATGTCCTCCGGCGCCATTGGAATTAGATTAAATGCCTGATATAAGTCTAGTGCCGAGTATATGCAAGTATCGTTAAATATTGACGAGAAGTCATGTAGGTTTGGGACGGGGTATTTGTTGGGCTGCGTGACGGCGTTGAACTTGCGAAAATCGCCGCACACACGAAATTCGCCAAGGGACTGTCTGAACGACGACAGGTTCCGTCTTCGCACCAAATTGAAAATTGTTTTTTAGCTGCTTTTAATTTTTCCGGAAGCAGACGCCTAGGACGTTGAGCAATCGGCTTACCGGAAGTAAGCAGATGGTGAAATAAACCAGTGGCTCGTGCACCTGAGCTTTGAAGAGAGCCGTGTATTGGCTGAGTACTTGGGCAAAAGGGTGTTGCAGATCAATCAGGCTAATGCCGGTGACTGGTGCAGATGCAAGCCCAGTTGAAAATAGTTGCATGGATTTCCTCGTGGATCAGCTACGTGGAATCGATGCTGATCGGAGATGGATTATGCGTGGAAATAGCGTGGAAACAGCGTGGAAACAGCGTGGAAACAGCGTGGAAAGTACATCGATTCCACGAGGACAGTTTATAGATTCCACGAGAAAAGATCATAGATTTCATGTAGATTTTTACCAGTTTATCCACGAGGACTTTCTTAGACGATCCACGAGGATATTTTGGTCATCGAAAAAATGAAAAAGTTTCTCCCGTGAGTAGGAATTGAACCGGGGATCTTTTGTTTTCGAAGCTGGTACTTTAGTGACTGAGCTATCAATCAGATATATTAGTAATCGATTTTAAGTGAATAATAAGAAAAATATATAATGAGGAAAATTTCATTTTTTGTAATTTTTATTCAAAATTTAATTCGTTAAAAAATTTAATTCGTTTGAATAAAGTTTACAAAAAATGAAATTGTTCTCATTATATTTTTTTCTTATTATATTCACTTAAAATCGATTACTAATATATCTGATTGATTGCTCAGTCGCTAGAGTACCAGCTTCGAAATCAAAAGACCCCCGGTTCAATTCCTACCCACGGGAGAAATTTTTTTTCATTTTTTCGATGACCAAAATATCCTCGTGGATCGTCTTAGAAAGTCCTCGTGGATAAACTGGTGAAAATCTACATGAAATCTATGATCTTTCCTCGTGGAATCTATAAACTGTCCTGGTGGAATCGATGTACTTTCCACGCAGTTTCCACGCATAATCCATCTCCGATCAGCATCGATTCCACGTAGCTGATCCACGAGGAAATCTATGCAACTACAGTAGATGCCGCTTATATGAATCTCGCTTAATCGAATCCGCCGTTTATACGAATCAAAACGCTTGGTCCCGATTTCCCTCTATACTTTTACATGTTAATTAAAAGTCCCGATTTCAGTATAATGGAATCAAAACCCGTTTATACGAATCAAACGATATAGAACCGTCATCAAGTAAACAAATATAAAATTCGAAATTCACCATGCCTAGAAAAGATTTAACGTTGCTCCAGAAGAAAGAGTTACTAAAACAGTACGACTTTCTCGAAAAGTGCAGTCAACGTGAAGCAGCAGCAAAATTAGAAGTTTCACAGACGCAACTCAATAGGATTTTGAAAAATCGTCATGACCTAGAAGCGGCTAACATTGAAAACGGAAGTTTAAATCGTAAAAGAAAAAGGTGTGGAATAGACGAAGATGTTGAGAAAATTCTTAAAAAGTGATTAGGAAAATCAGATTTCAAAATCACCGATGGTTGGTTTTCCCGATGGCTTCGAAGAGAAAATATTGTTTTTTGCAAACCTCATGGAGAGCAAGCTGAAGCTGACGCGAAAGGGGCTGATAACTGGATTTTAAATGAATGGCCACTCGTAAGAAAAAAATATGAACCTTGTGACATATACAACGCTGACGAAACGGGTCTGTATTTGTGCGCTTTGCCTGAACATACTTATATTTTCCAGAATGAAAAACTTTGAAAAACGGGTAAATTTGACAAACCTATGAACGTTTTTTTTTTATTAATATTTACCATTTCTTACTGCATCGTTTAATTGAATCAGCCGTTTATACGAATCAAAACGTCTGGTCCCATCGTGATTCTTATAAGCGGCATCTACTGTATTTTCAACTGGGAGATGGCCTTGAGCCGAAATCCCTGAAGTTTTGTCAATAAGTGTTTTGGCTTGAAGATCAGGTAGCCAACCGAAGTGCGCCAGCGCGTCCACTCTGATAATCGGATACGGCACTTCTGCGCTGATGAATGACCAACGCTTCGATTCAACGCGTGCCATACGCGTGGATAATCGAGTCGTTGGCAGCGTGAAGAGTGAGAGAAGGAGAGGGCGAAGTGCAGTTTCCATCTTCAGGCAGAACTGAGACCTCTGCACCTGTGTCGATGAGGAAGATAAGGTGTAAGGATAAATCCTTGATGAAGAGACTCTTAGTGCCAAGTGTGCCTGGAAGGCTGGCTTCGCAGATGTCCAAGCAAGGTGCTTTTTTGTCTTTCTTCTCAGCTGCCCATTCTCTCTCATATTTTCGCCAAGCAAAAGGAAGGTCGAGGTCTTTCTTGGCCTTCAACTTGTATTTGAAATGATAGTAGCATAGGTCCTTGTTGGGACCGAAGTTGGTTCTAGGTTGCGAACGTAAACGCTGATGTGAGCTTGACCGCTCACAAGAGCGACTCTGCCTGGGTTGAGATTTGGCTGCAATAGCAGCGATGATCCTGTCCGTGAGCTGATCCATTTTTTCGGAATCGAGATTACCTGGGCTGTGTATGGCTGAAATCTGAGGGTAGCTAAGCGGTTTAAGTCGCTGATGAAGTTGATCCGCTTTTTCTACAGTGTCCTGTTCGTCGTGACGAGTGATGTCATCATCCAGCTGCACAGCTATATAGTGTTGAGTCACATGCGGCTGCTGAGCAGTAAGGACGTGTGACGTGACGGAGTGCGCGAGCGTGTATAACCACAAATACTTATACTATACTATAATACACTATTTATAGAGACTCATACGTAATCTTACCCTAAGAGTGCGTTCACAGTGATGGAAAAAGCCAGAACACCACCAATGCGGCGGGAATATATAAGAATGCAACGCCGTCTGACTCGAGACATCGCAGGATCATATAACAAGAGAGTTGGTAGTGAATTTAAAATGTCACGCTTCTGATGAGGTTCTGATGTCCTGATTCACGGATATTATGTTTAGATTGCGCAGGGCTTGATTATGTGTCGATGGACGGTCATCGTAAGGCAAACCACTGACACTCGCTCGAGCCGATCTCTTTCGAACTTCTTCGGTAATCATGTTCTCCTAATCATGATTCGTGAAGGCACGGGTATTAGCTTCGGTATATTAGCACCGGCTTTAGCACCTTGGTTGCTTCTGGTATTTACCTCGATAATATACCGGTGTCTACCTCGAAATATACCGGTGTCTACCTCGGTATTACATCGGTGTCTACCTCGGTATTACACCGGTGTCTACCTCGGTATTACGCCGTCACTGACCTCGATGTCGCGAGGTTGGGAACGCGGAATGCGAGTCTAAGACCTTAATTTTAGTCTGGTAAATCATGCACTAGATGGCGGTTCACCGAGACTCTATATCTCTCTATATCGAGTGTCGAGAACCTGGCTTTTGTGGTTACGTCTAATGAAAACATAATATTCATTGAAAAATAAACGTGATGAGTGGGAAAGTATGAAGCGTAAATGCAAAACTGCAAGTATACTGCTGAGGATTAATATGTACATAAAGCGTTAACCACAAAATTTACGAGGTTTTTTTATCAAGTTTCAATGTTGGAGATGATTGTCCAGTTCTCGATGCCCCATTTGATGTTTATTCTATAGTAGTATGTCTGTGCCAGTATGAAAACAGCTCCCCTCCCTCGCCCCTCCGAGTCGTGTAGGCCTCCCTCCCCTAGCGACATCTCCGCTCCTGACGCCCCCTCCCCCGGCTCTCATAGTGGCATGCGCGCGTGCGTGTGTGCGTGTATGTATGCATGAGCGCATAGCGCGAAGGCCGTGTGCGCGCGCTCGCGAGCGCCGTGTGGGCCCGAACGCGCCGGTATGGCGGCGCGTGCACTCGCCTATGTGTATGAAATGAGCGTGAGTGCGTAGCACTCACGCTATGTGTGCGTGTGTGCGTGTATGTATGGCTTAGGGCGTAGCGCGAAGGCGGCGTGCGTGTGTATGTATGCGTGAGCGCGCGCTCGCGCGCGCCGTGTGAGCTCGAACGCTCCGGTATGGTGGCGCGTGCACTCGCCTATGTGTATGAAATGAGCGTGAGTGCGTAGCACTCATGCTATGTGTGTGTGTGTGTGTATGTATGCACGAGAGATGTCCCACAGAGCAATCGTCGTTGAAAGACGATCTTGATCTATAGTACAGCTGCTATACTTTCACCTGGCGCGGATGGGTCAATTGTTCGAGCAGTGTGCTCTGATTGGGTTTTGGAATAATGAGAAATTTGTTTTGCTGTTAATTCTTTATTGAATGCCTGCTTAATTTTACATCAATGCATGTGTTGTAGTTCTTTTTGTCCATATAACATAATATTTACCAACATTTGTTTAACATTTTTAACGGCGCAATCTATCATAAACGAATCGCTATGATGTGAGCACTTTGTTTCACGCTCGATCATAGGAATAACATGATTTACATAGTCGGATACAGTAGAAAGATTAAAAAATTGTGTATAGCCATAGGAGCGTAGCCAATGCGCAACGGCAAAGTCTATTACATATATCATTTTCGCGTCTTTTAAATGCTCGCAAAGTATAGCATTGATACACTCATAGTCAATTTCACCAGACTCCCAGCTCATCCCATGTATATATGAAGTGTTCTCGTTCAAGCGACGGACATCTGCATCCAGCAGATTTTTATGAAAGGGCGGTTTGAAGATCCATGTTTGAGGCTTTGCGTCAAACGGAGCGCATCAAAGCGTCGCAGCGGAGTGGCATCAAAGCCATTTCTTTGACTATTAATTTGTCCTCGTTGTCGCGAAAACCAAGTACGTCTAGCAAGTAGCAGCTCATTTTGATAACTAACTTGCAACCGCTTTCACGGGAGCCTATGTTACTTTTTTAATTTCTCCACTCAAAATATTTTGTTCTATGATTCTATCGTGCAAGATAAGACAGTATGCAGACGTATTGGCTGGAAAAGGTTCGTTGGACTGAAATTCGATGCGCACATCTACCGGCGCTGCCTTCAGAGATTCATTCTGCTTCGAGCAATCAATGATTATCAGCGGCATAAATCCTTAAAATGCGCCCGACTCAACATTGGTTTTGAATTTTTGCCATAATAATTCGACTGGAAATTGGCATACATCTTATAAAGACGGGCATATTGATTTTGCGTAAAGTCGATATTCAAATTGCCATAGGGATAATATTGAGAATTTAAAAATAGCCGAACATTAGTTATGTGACAGTGATCGAACATGCTCGCGTTTTGGTAAGCACTTGACTTTCGATTGGCCTGGAAACCTATAATTATGAATCGCGGCTTTTCAAGCTGACTCGAGGTCTTAACAGCCCAAACATGCTGTCTTGTGGCCACAGGTATAGACGGCCACTCAAACAGCTGCCACGATCTAAAGGCTATTTTAACAGGTCGATTTGTCTCCAGTTCTTTGAGAAGCTGAATTTTATTAGCATTTGAAAGTTGTATCGACGGCATACACCATTCCATTTTTTTCAAAGTTATCTTGAATGCTTCCGGTTGCGCCGCTCGTGCTGCTTCCTCGCGCTGGGCCTGTGTGGGATTTTCACCAAGTTCGACTGGCTGGGGTCGCAACTGCACTACTGCATTTAGATCTGTGCGTGATCTTACCAAAATTAGTTCATGGTTTGCGTTGACAATGATCTTTTTATAATCCTCAGCAAAACCAAAAATCATATTGAGCGGTAAATGCACATCGAAATTTCCGGCAGTATCAACGACGGGCGGGTGCTGTGATAGATCGCTACACCATCCAGCATTCTCTTGACGATGCCCCCGTGCAGAACTGAACGAAGCACATCCTTTCATAGTAGTCGTGATACCAGCTGCTTTGCATCGATCGATTTCAATCGCATTGATTTCATAGCGTATTTCATCAAACAGATGACATATGCCATTATTCACCAACTGAGTCGAAGTCACCGGTGTATTTGCGGTGGTCGAAAGTCTTCCAAATATATGTATGTAGCTTTGCGATGGCAGCAAATTTAATTCTTGGTGCTGTATGGCGATTCTTATCTCATCATTATTGTCGAAACTCGACGATGAATACGGCTGATGAGCATGAATTTCATAGTGAGTAATAGTCTCATCGAAGATAACATCCGAGTGAATGTCTAATACATCATTCATTGTGTCTTTGTTTCTTTTTTTTATCGATTTTCTTCTTCTTCTTCTTCTTCTCTACTTTGTATATGATTGCTACAAAGGTACAAAAGCAAGCTACTTTTTCTTTCCAGCTTCGTAGAAACCTAGCGATTTTAGAAACTGGACGTTTTGAGCACTTAATTTGGGGCGTTCCCGGTTGTAACTGACTTGATCTTTGCATCGCGTCTCTCTTTTATAAGGATGTACAATTTTATTTGTCTTGAAAACAATCCCCATTACGTAATCGATCTGATGTGAAGACGCGCGGTTATAGTTTCTCCTTGAAAATCGATAATTTGTCCTTTCTGATCAACTATGCGCAATTGAATATTGTCAATTGTAGAAATATTTATCGGCATATAAATTATGCTTTGTGGTATTTCAACGATTTTATATCCAAACCCGACTGTGGGATAGAACTCGTGAATGGTATGTTCTTTTTCTCCATTCATATACGCACCCGAAGCAATATTACACTCTATGCGTATCGAATTTATACCAGTAATCGTCACACACGAATCAGACAAGTGGTAGGTATTTGCTTCAAGCACGCGCGAGCGGAAACCCAGCAACTCTCCAATACAATCTTGGGGAGTAAAATCTAAAATTTCACTGCAGCGAATAGTGCTATGGCCCGTGTTGGCGTCGATTCGAAGATCGAATGAGATATTTTTTTTGGACAATCGTATTTTTACATAATCATCAATATCCGCAATTTCGTAGCTGCCTTTAGGTATTTCTACTATCTCTCCACCGGCATACAATTTATTATTTCGAGCGTAAGTAGCGCATCAGTAGCGCATGAGCTCGGGCGGTGGCTCCAAGTCCCCAAAACTATCGAAATAAACGACACTTGCGTCGTTTTTACGGTACGCCACCCAGTGGCTGCCTATGTTGTTTGCGCTATCAAGATTTACAATAGCACATTCTCTGCTACGTGGCCCATTTTTTGGCAACTGATCACGCATATACACACCCCTAAAATGAGGAATTTTTAAAAGCTTGGCGAATTTCACCAATTCGATATTAGAAAGAGCGTGAAGCGGCAATTTTATTTTTGAAGTTTTTTTTTTTATTGGTTCGACGCTGTTGCAGTCTCTTGACGACTTTTTTAGGTCCATTCACAACCAAGCCAAAACCTTTTTTGAATGGTTTCAAGTACATGCCTTTGCCAATGGCAATTTTTTCCATTTTGCGATTGTGATTTTTCATCTCATTCAACTCTCGTTCGGCAATCTTGGTCTGATTAACCGCTTTAACGATATTACTAATGCCACCAGACATCGCACCAAAGGCCGATAAGGCGGCAAAAGTAGAAATCAAAAAACCTCCAATTTTTTTCGGAAGAGGTAGCGA